GAACCTATTGCAATAAAACGGCAATTTCATACTTTAACCCCTAATTATAATAACATCCGTTCAGATTGTAAGGCTGCGACTCCACCAGATATAGTGGAAATGTTGTTAACGCGGGCACTCGCGTACTCTCAGAGGCACTCGCACGCACGCCTTGCTACCTCGCAAATCTCTGGTGGAATCGCAGCCTAATCAAATCTTGGATGTTACATTACAGGCGAATGCTCGCCGGTGAAGGAGGTAGGTTGTAATGTAATGCTCAAAACGAATGTTTTCAGGCGAATGCTCGACGGTGAGGGAGGTAATTTGTAAATTTGTAAAAATGATTAAATTTGTAATTTGTAAAAAACGAATCTTGAATGTTACTTTACAGGCTAATGTTCTGGGTGAAGCAGCGCCCTTAGTGCGAGGTTGTTAGCATTTTACTAATAATGCTTTATATAGAAGTTTATTGGTTGTTATCGACTGTTGTACGAAAATCCGTGAAGGAGCGGGTCCTACGAGTGTCTCTGAAAACAGTGTCTTTAATTATTGTGTGTCCGTGGTGTATTCATTTTTCATTATCATTTTTTAATAGTGCCTCGGAGTGAATTTCGCTGCTCTGGTACTCTTAGTATAGGTATTTTTTAAGACTAGATATTTGATGCGATTCTAGCACATTATATATTATTTGTATCTTTTGTCAGAGCCAACGCGAGTAAAGTTATTGAAGTTGTGCCTTCGGGAGGTGGTTCTGGCTGAAAACGTGAATCTCTCTGAGTTAGCGGTTAAGTTGGACGGTTATAGTGGTTCTGACATAAGCAATCTTTGCAGGTAAGCTCTCTCATTAACGTATAGCCCGTTATTTAAGTGAGAAATAGTCCTTAAGTTATGATCACTAATTTATCGTGGTGTTACGTTATTACGATTTTGAATAAATAAAGAACATTAAAATAAAAGAAGTGAAGATTCACAAGTAGGTAGGTATACATACTTATTACTAATTATACTTACTATACAATGTACAGTGTCTGTACATAGTACATACACAGCACAGAAACAATAAAAAGACTTAATAGTTTGACAAGGGTTTGACCTACAGCCTCTCAAACAGGCACCATAGGTTCGAATCCAGATTCGCACTGAGTTTATCGTAATTCTAACTGCCTCTGTGGCCGAGCGGTTACCATGCTGGTCTGCCAAGCAGTTGGTCCGGGTTCGATTCCCGGGCCGGGAGTATTTGTATGACCTATATTTATTTCTCTCGTGAGTTTGGGTGCAATTTGTAGTTGTCTATGTGTATGACTCGTGTTCAGCAGTGGGACGTAGAAAAGGGTTGATAATGATGATGATTATGGTGGAGCAGGATAGATGATGTGGTGTAGTTGAAGATAGGAGAGATGGAGTTGAGGCTTATACTCTCGAGAGTTAAAGATCGAGGAAGGAGCTGTAGGGCCGGAGGACAGCGAGGTTGTTGACGTTGGTGCAGCAACAGGTAAAACGGCAATCATACAACGGTAAACGGGTTACCTAGCGTGTGGAAGTTTAGGAATTTGACATCGGGTTAGCGTGTTAGCGCTATGGATGCAGGTGCAGTTATATGGCTTCGGAATGGTGACACTTCGTAATTTCAGAGCTGTTTCAGTCCGTCAGGTTTTGACACAAGATCTAAAAGTTCTCACCACTCCGAATTCTATCTTCTACCCACACACTACATCACTCATTCTACTCTACCACACTCCAACATTTTCTTTTGTTTTTATATAAATGTA